GATATGTTACTTTTCATCCAAGTTTTTTTTTCAAGCATCATGATCAACCTGACTGATTTTATAGGTCTAGTTTTTCAAAAGCACATAGCTTAACTTGTTCAGGATATCCTCATTCCGGAAGATGAAGATCTGGATGCATTTGACTTGGAGGACGTAGAGGCGGTAAGTAATCTTCCCAGTGCTCCTATACTTCTGCTAAATTCACAAGTTCGTAATCAGGGCATCTTCATTCTCGATCGGCCTATTTTCATAACGCTTATAAGCGCAAAAGATTCGGGAGTGATGCGGCAGTTACGTTGCGAGGTCGCAGTTGAATACCGATTTGGTATAATATGACTTCATCCCAACTTCGCCGCGATTTTTTTTCTAGACTCAAACTGTTTTCTTTTTCAAAGTTGCGTTAAAAGAAGGCTGACAAAAACGCGGAGGTGCTGTCTCCATGTTATTTGACCAATGCAGTAGGCCGCATTCTCGATCGATCGATGCTTATGCTTGCAAGCTTTATAAGGATTGGCCAATTCTTATGAAGCATAGAGATACCTTATGTTTTGTTACTGTGCAAATGCCATTTTTCTATATGGTTCTTGACTATGAATTTTTAGTATAATTGTTTTATTATCGTTTGGCTTTTGGAGTTTTTTCCTCTTTACCTCTAGCTATCGAGGCTGTTTTAATACAGTAATGAGTAGGTTTCATTATCTTGCCACTTTACCTATTTCCAGAATGGTACGGACTCTCAAGCACAAGCAAATGGATCCGGCGATCCTTCAGAATGGGGGCTGACCCCTGCACAGTTGAATGAGTTACGCGCCATTCATGATTCCGTTGCAGAACTGTTAAAACACTTTTGGACGTGCTTCCCGCCTGTTACTCCAGAGCTGGAAGAGAAGGTACTTTTGATATGTGTCATTCTTCAAACTGAATGGTGTTTGCTTATAGTTAGAGCGAATGTCTCAAACATTGCGAAAGTACGAGGCAAACCAACTCCGCGAAGCTGAGCGGCAGTTTGGTAGAATCAACGTATGCTTCTTCTCAAACTCTTTTTCTTTCATAATTAATTAGTTTTGTTTTTCATAATTGTTTAGTTTTGTAAGTTACATTTTAGGTTCAACACTGCTACAGCATGCTCTCCCGAGCTCATGCACGATATCAAATGTATATGGAAAGAAAATCTGCTCGACATTGAACACTTACTTGTATGGGTATTTTTGCAATTAGCGGTGCCAAGGATCTCTCTCGTTACTTGTTATGTTGACCTTGTTCTACATAGAAATATTGGACTAATGCAGATTTGATAAAGTTTTTATTTAAAATATCTAATTTCATGTCTTCGTTTGCACGGCGTCTATTGATCATTTTTTTT